CATGAACAAATAACTTAAAATTAGCAGAAAAAAAAATCTCATCAAATAAGGTTATCAAATTATATAAGATGAATTATCCATTGTAAAAAGTCAAGCTTATCAATCATCCTTCAAACTGGAAATCCCGAATTATCATACTACGAAATAGATTGCAATCAACTGATGAAAATCGAAATCATTTTCGTTGATTCATTAACATAAAACTGATAAAACTATTGTCAAAAATAAATCAACTAAAAGTCAACAAGAATATATCAACTAAATGAACTAAAATAAGAAAAAAAAATGCTATACCTCGAGAAGTCCAGTATCCTGATCATATACAGGTTCGTTGCAATCTTTCATCTCATTATCCATAACACTGCAATTACGAACACTTTTATATGTTGCCATACAGCAAAATAAATAAACCTAAGAAAAATGAAATGACATATTATCATGTAAATATCAGCATCATAACATGTATTTTTAAATCGATACGATTTTTTTTTCTCATTAGATCTTATCAAATGAGATTATCAAATTATATACGATGAATCATCCATTGTAAAAAGTCAAACTTGTCAATCATCCTTCAAACTGAAAATCCCGAATTATCATACTAGTAAATAGATTGGAATCAGGTGAAAATCAAATCATTTTAGTTGACTCACTAACCTAAAACTAATAAAACTATTATCGAAAAAAAAAAAAACATTTAGCAAATTTCCTCTTCGTTCTCTCTTAACCATTCTTATCATTCTTTTATCATCTCATTTAATATTATAGAATATTCCAATCATTCTCAATCTTATCATCCATTGTCTCATTTCTTGTTCTCTTCTTGCATTGCTTTTTTTCTCCCTACATCTCTTCTAAATCTTATCGTTCTTTGCTACATACCTAAAATAGCTCCGGAAAAAAGTGAAATTTTTCGTAGATTAATTAACTGAACAGTAATATATCTAAAAATAGCTTCGTAGGCTAGAAAAACAAAAAAAAAAAAGCTGCTAAAACAAACTTCCCCACAATAATCAATCATAACACTAAATGTGGTACCAAATGTGGTACCAAATTGGTTGCTCAAACTACCTGTGTTGCAACTCAAATACCGACCTATCAGATGATGGGTTTCAATAGTTGCTGCTGCTGCTGCTGCTGCTCTTTTTCCGGTTTGTTGGAATTGCCGGAAGGTTTGGATGGTTGTTTCTTTTTTTTTAGTTTGTGTATTATTGATAGCATGTTCAGGATTGTTTTATGGTTCATTCCGGATTATCGACAGGTTTTAAAATTTGCAACAGGATAGAGATAGTTGGATGTTATTGGGATGTTCTAGAATCGTTATCGTTGGATTTCCAGTATTAGAATTTATGAATTTTCTGAAACCAATTAGATTTCTAGTATTTTTCAAGAGTGTTAGGGTATTTCAAAAATTCTTTAGTAATCGATTTGTGTGTTTTTTTTTTTTTGGGGAGGGGAATGTTTTCTTTTTTTTTCACGCTTGTTTATTCAAGAATTTTTAATTAATTTTAAGCATTTTTTGGTATCGTTAATGAAAATAAGTCTTTCTCAATCTCGCACGATATTTCCATTTTTTAAAGTCCTTCATGTAATTCTCCAATCTTTGTTTCACATTGTCTACTTTCATTTAAATTTTATTAAGAATTGTTTTAAAATGGAAATTTGGCTTTGTTAAAGTTGTTGATAATGATTGCAGGAATTGCTTCATAATCTACAAAAATGATATAGATGGATTGGATTTTTCGAGTTTTATTCTATAATGGTATCAGTGTAAATATCAATTCACCAGTGATATATAGTATGTCAGATACAGATGGAGGGGAACGTTGTTCTGCTTTAATACCATATATGAAACCTGTGATACTGAGCGAATTCTCTAGTGATCAAAGAAACGTAACAATCGGTGAACGAACGTTTCGATTACGTCAAGATTGGCAACAAAATGGTATCTCTGGAGTGATTTGGGATTCGGTATGATTCTTATCATTATGATAATTACTCGCATTGTACTTATTAGTGGCGTCATTAATATGATACCTAAAATATTAAAGTATTTAATGATATGGTGACATTTTAATCGCCAACTCATTCGATCATTGCTACTGCAATTGAAGGCTTTATTGGCTTGTTAGCTTTTCAATATTTTTATTATAAATTGTTTGTATGTGCAATAATTCCTTTTTCATATGACAAGATATTTTTCATCTTCTCAAGTTCAGCAAGGATTAGAAGTTGTGATGTGCATGCAATTTTTACGTCGATTTTAAGTCTAATTATTGCAGTCATTAAACTGTTATTTTTTACAATGAGACTGCTAACGATTTCCCGTCTTAGCTCAAGTGTTGTTTTGTTAGATTACTTCTATCAGTATCCCTATATCTAAAATAAACATAATTTTTTAAGAGCATTGCCTTGGCTCGGTATATCTCGAAACATCCAGAATTGGTAGCTAATCACACGGTATTGGAACTCGGTGCCGGATTGGGTTTACCAAGTATCATTTCAAGCTATCAAGATGTTAAGCTTATCCATGTGACGGAACGAGTAAGTGCTGTAAGTCTACTGGAAGAGAATGTTCGTCAGAATGCAAACAACGATTGTAATATAAAAATTTTCGCTTTTGATTGGAATGTTGACCAACTGCAGCAAAAATATCAGGTATATAATCAATTCGTAGTACTGAGAATAAAAGATTTGGAAGACGGTTGATCGTTAAATTCAGAAGCAATTCTACCTTTTGTCATGAATCGTCTAAAATGTTGGTAATTTCATTATGGGAGGATGTCTATGCACGTCAGGAAAACTATTTTAAAACCATATGATATTATTCCACAAAATCTGTTGACCGCTAAATAAATTATTTGAACGTTTTTGCATAGAGGATAGTGCATTGTAGGGGTAGAAGAAATTATCTTTTGAATGGGTTAATTAAGAGAGATTTTATAATCATAAATGATATCAGAATAAAAATTTTCATAATTGAAGAAATCTCCGAAGAATGGAATTGTGAATTATCCAGTTATTTTTCAGGTTATTCTAGGAGCCGATCTCATCTACAGTGGCATTAAGTTTGAACCGCTAGTGAAATTATTTCGGGATGTTAGTGATCACGATACAGTGATATATCTGTGCAGTAAAATACGTTACCAAAGAGATCGAGATTTTTATAGCAAGCTTCTGCAGGAACAGTTTGATGTACGCGAAATTTTCTATGAAACTGAATTTGCTGTAAATATTTTTGAAATTAAAAAATTGGTGAATTATTGCAACAACATAATAATGTACGAAGTACTCTTGCTACAACTGATACCATTATTTTAAGCACGTGCTACACATGCGGGAAATTGGGTTACCATGAGAAATGCTAGTTATTACTTATTCATCTTTACCCAATATCTACTCTTAAACTGCCCGTTGATCTGAACTGATATACTGTTTTAGATGTAGCTCATCTTATCAATTTCCAGTTTTAGCGATAAGTGCAAAAAAAAGCATATCTTGTATTTGCTTGTAATTTACAATTATGATCATTTTTTTATTAAATGTAGACAACAACCTCCAAAAAACTGTTCATGATTTTTGAGATCCATATAAATTTTCTTTCTCGATGCGACGAATTCGCGCAAGGCACTCAGCGGCAATGGAAATTTCATATTTTTTCATGAAATTTAAACACTTTTTACAGATCTCACTGCTTCCCATTTGACAGGTACAATTTGTTCGAATCATTGTTCGCATGAATTCTTGACAATTGTCATTCTTTTTGCACTCCGAAAGTGACCAGTGTTGTGGACAAATCCAGCATTCGTCTACATCCGTTCCTCGATCATCTATAATCAGCTGAAGCAATGAACTGAATTGCGCTAAGTTTACCCGAATGTCTGCAGCCAATATCTTCTGAAAAAAAAAGAAAGAACATGCTAGCTAAAATATAATGTTAATAAGAAGTTATTGCAGTTCTTTGAAAAATCAATTATAACGATCAAACTTGTTTATAATTTCTAAAATATTTTTACCTTTTAAGAAAAAGTAAAATCTTTACACTGACAGGACATATTATGGAGCAAAGCAGAATTTTAATAAAAATTTTTTTGAAGCTTCTAAGAATATCCTTTCTGTCTAAATTCGGAATGATTCTGTAAAGCGCGCACTAAGCCATTATATAGGATCCCTATGACATAACTTATTAAATGATTACTTCGCGGTAGCTGCTGTATTCCGCAGATGAAAAACAAGATCTGCAATCGGCTAATTCCCTGTCTATATCCATCAGACGTTTGATTATCAGTTCAACAATCAAGTCCGCGTTACTCGCATTAATAAAATTATGGTTGATTGAAACTGTATCTTCCTAAATTTCAAAAACATAATATGTGACATCGCAGAATTCCCACAGAATTTAACTTGAAAAACTCGTTGCATATAATAATTGGTCAAGTTAAAGTATAATGGGACATATTTCTGGAAACTTTGAAAATGCATAGTAAATTTTGATTATTGATGATTATGCGAACAAAACGATTGGAAGGGGAAGGGAGGAAATCTGTGACAATTCATATCTTAAACTTATTTTAAAAATTGATCGACGTCGGATACAATCGCTCTATTATCCACCAGACAATACTTTCGAAACTGTATTTCCTCAGATTTAGATTCAGATTTTTCTGGAAGTTTTAACGATTTGTAAAAATGATGTACTAACTAAATTATGCACTTGATGATACCAGTTGGAAGGAACGAAAACAATTTCTCCTTCTTCTTGAATAAATGATATAACATTAGCTTTAGGCCATTTGTCTTGAACCGTTCGAATATCCTCTAAAAATGTATTACGATCAATTCTAAAGCATTCCTCATTGTTCGGTTGTACAAAATACCAAAGCTTTCGTCCGCAAATATTCGCTGACCAACTATACGAACTCATCACATCAGCGTGAAATGGTGTCCTACAATAATATCGTTTTCACTGTCTCATATTGTCAGCCTACGGTAAAACAATCATCTTCGAGATTGATTTCTGTACTTTGAACACTGCTTTTAAAACCACTAATTTATTTACAAATTCCTCTTTCTAATTCTTTTCTTATGTTTTTTTAAAATTCATTTATCTTTTCTTTCTATGCTGTTTCTTAACTCTTTTCCTGTTTTGATCTTTCCCACCATCCCCTCTAGCTTTTATAAGCTTCTCATATATTTCATCTCATTATCTGCTTATCGATTTCTCAGCCTTAAATGAATTGTAATTGCACCGGTTTCAAATGCTAACTTTTTAAAAACTGTCCTATGATAAAAAAATTTCCTTACTTACTAATCTATTCCAACAAAACTCAACAAACCATGTATTCTTGGCTCCGAAATAAACAAAACGATAGTCGCCTAACTGATTACGTTTATCATTTGACCATATTTCATTGTTTATCCAATCAAAACGCAAAACCGATGGCAATTCATACATTTCGTAGGCTGTCCCTGATTCCCTGCAAATGATATATCGGTCAAACATCAAGAAAAAAACTCACGAAGCTCGTAAATTATTATCAACTAACTGTTGAAAATGCCAATCTTTGGCATAGCCAATATTATTCGATCCATCACTCTTTTGCATCATCTCGATATAATCTTTAAGCTTTGTTTTTTGACAATTTTCTATTCTCTTATCAGTTCTTTTTTTGACTAACGGTACTTCCATATGTCCTACAATATAAATAACAATATTTGATAGTAAAAGAAAACGAATGCAAAATAAACATATTAAAGCGAATAATAAATTTTGAAGAAAAAGAATGAGAATGACTCAGAGAATGATATACTTCTCATAAGTCATACTACAAACAACTAACAACTTATCGATCAATTGACTACCGAAGCAAAGGAAACCGAAAATGTTAAAGAAATGCATTGCTACTGCTGAGTGAAGAAGAGAAATAGCAAGAAAGAATAAAGCGGATAAATCGTTCAATATTTACAGACAAATTTTTTTATGTTGTAAATTTCAAAGCAATATTTGTTCAAAAATTATTGATTATTTTTGTTCCGTTTAAAACATTAAAAACTAACCATAACCGTAAATATTAACCATATATAAAAAATTAACCATATTGTTTGATGAAAAACTCGACATTTATAATGTTTTTTCCATTCATACATTTCACCCATTGTTGCCGACTTTTCCATTTCGCAATTGTTTTAGTGTACATTTTACAGGGTTGATTTTGAAGCATGAAATCAATAAATACATCAAGCGCTTTCGTTTTTTCCAAGCATATCATTGGAAATAATGGCGAATCATATAATTCTCCTTCCATTACTACCTTCTTCACTTTCCGCCAACATCTGCAACTATTTATTTGAATTTAAATTAATTCTACTTTTTTTTTATGCATTATTTTGAAATTGAGAATAGAATAGTTTAAAATAAATTCTTAGAAAAATTCACATTTCAAATTTTCACACTATTTGTTCCATTCAATCATATGAACAATTATAAGTCATGAGTATTTTTTGAAATCACATTCTTCAAATAATAAAACATATTTATGTTTCCTATTCCAATTGATTTATTATGCAATTTCCATACTACATTTCAAGGAACAGTAAATACCAGTGAAAATAGTACTGGTAGCATGGAGGCAACAAAGATTGATAAAAATTTATAGCACAGCACATTTATATTGATTTGAGAAAACATACAAATGTATAATCTTTACAGTATATGAGCAGTGATTGAGAGTGAAAGAAAATATGATCACGTTTCGAGGAGAGCACAGAAACTAATATGATTTTCGTAATAACATGAAGCATAATATTGGAGAGTAATGGATTATAGTGATGAAAAGGAGGTGGAACAATGTATGCAAATTTTTGGTCAGAAATTAATTATTTAATTGATAAAATTTCAAAAGTTACATAGGCACTACACCTCAAAAGGATTGGAAAATTGAGCATTAATTAAAGGATTGTATTCAAGTCGCCAAAAAAAAAAGTTGAATTTACTTTAGCATTGTGTATTTGTGTTGTAAATCGGTTTTTCTTTTTTAAATTTGCCGATTAAATTGATATTTTTAGGAAAGGAATCCAGTATAAAGCTTCAGTTGATTTAATGGATGTGAATCTGAATCCGGATGTTATTACTGGTTTGCTTTTCTCTTTTTATCGAAGTTGCAAAATTTGAACTTTCTAAATTGAAATTTAAAATTTCAAAAGCTTTCGAACAGATAACTTTGCAGATGTAAAAAAAAAATGCAAATACTAATTTATATTTTTATTCTGTATTATCTGTCCAAGAAATTTTTCGGGTTACTCCTAAATTTTTTAGAAAAGTATTTAATTAATAAAGTTTCAAAAAAAGTATTTGATTAATAAAGTTTTTTTTAATAAATTTTGATTTGGATGAATTTTAAATCTTTTTTTCTTTTTGAGAGGTGTGGCGGAGTATAGAGGAGAAAACTCCATTTGATGAGTGCATGAATATTGATCCGAAATCAATGAAGGAGCTATGTTCTGTGTTGGAAGAATTGAATCGATTGACGAAATATGATGATCCAAATTCTGTGCTGGAAGGGACCAATTTTTCTGAGTTGGTTTGTTGTTTTATAGAAAATTTTTTTTCATATACGTGCAGTAGATGTACTTTTTCAGTGTTTCGATATCTAAGAATTATTGGCTTTAAAAAACGTGCTTGTTTTCAATATGTTCCTTGACTCATTTATCATTTTTTTTTTTGTAGAACAAGCAACATATGCTACGTTTATGGCATGCAAAAACGATTAATGATATGAAGTGGGGTATTGATGTGGTAATAGCTAATTCAAATATTCGGAAGAGCCTACATCCGAAGATTTGGTTGGTTGTTGATGGACAGGAAATTGAAATGAATCTGGAAGTTTTTGCTAAATTAAGGTAACAGTTTTATACTTTCTTTGATAAGTGCTTTTCATTTGCAACAGAAGTTTTTGAAGCTTTAATTTTCAAAGTTTCTTTTCAAAAAATGTTCTTTGCTAGATCTCAAGTAGTTATGTGTTTCACTTTTGCTGCAATTTATCTAGGTTAGATAGTTGCAGAAATAGTAACTTACGAAAATGTAACCCTTAAACTCTACGATAAACTAGCTCACTGCCTTAAATATTTCAAACAAGTCTTTTCAGATTTGAGGTCTCTCGAGCATTGAGTCGGATTGATCACTATGCATAATTATCAGGTGGTACCATCTTTTTATTTCGTAATATACATTCGATCGATCATGCGGGAGTAAGTAGTTAAATTAGAAATAAGTTGAACGAAACTTATTTATCCTTCAGACATATCCGATCCAACCAATTATGGACACTTTGATTGTACTTGTACCAGATGAGGATATGGGATATATTTTACAATAATTTTAATTTAATCTATTCAAAATTTTTTCTCTTTGTTGAAAGGAAACTGTCTATATTGCCCTATGTGATTTCCTGAGTTATCTTAACTGTCCCGGTGATATTGCTTGAATTTATTACTTTAATTTATGATTCTTTTTAAAAGATTTCTGCAATCATCTTTTCTCCTGCCATGTGTGCAGCAATAGATCGTTTTTACAGCTGTTTTTGTTAGGTAATTCAGCAGGCTTTAGGAATATTTTAACTTCCATGCTTCCAATTATCGGAATAAGAGCAAGAGTTGCAATTCTTTACTGGGGAAATAAATGGGATTGTATCGAATGACCCATAACTTCGAGAAAACCGACATGGCAAAGGGATTGCAGCGTGCTACTACGAAGGATTTAAGGTTTGATTATAAGGAGCTCCCACTGAACAATCAGGCTTTCGCACTTCAGATGCCATTTTTGGAAAAAAAGCAAAAAGAAATGGAAAAGAAAGAATGCGAATTTGGAGAGAAAAGAATAAAACGCCTGTGTAGTAAAGAAATCTTGGTAGAAATCGGTGGAAGAAATAATAACTAATTGAAGCCGCTAACTACATTTAAAGACAAAAATACGTTCGGGCTTAATTGATTGGAATTATTTTTTAGCATAATTTAAAAAGAAAAACAATGATGATACTAGATATATTGCACAAAAAAGAAGGATCTCACACTGAAATTCATTAAATGATTAAAATTCTGATTTTAATTTTTGATGCAATAGTATCTAAAATCTAAAATACTTTTATTTCTTCTCTCATATTTAAACTTCTTCTGGGACTGATGAAAATGATAAAAGTGAAGAAAAGCAATCGTCCTATGTATCCATTCTATTAGAAACTATTTGGGCAGTCATGCTCTCCGGGTCAATTATGTTATTTTCATCATTCACTTCATCTTATCATTCATCTTATCTTCAACAATATAATGAATGCAAATGAAGTAGGAAATAAGGGAATTTGGTTAACATATCGTAAATAGTATGACAAAATAAAGATTAAGCTTCATATTTTCTAATCTCAAATCAATATTAACAAAACCTTCACATTTGCAATAATTGCAGAAATTTTATATATAGAATATTTGTACCCAGAAACGATTATTTCAATCTCAGTAATCCAGAAATCCTTGTCAGTGTAATCGTTATATTGTATTACCGAAATCTTCCACGCAGAATAAATTTTGATAATTTTTGTCTGTGAAGCAAAAACTACTCAATGGAGAATTTTTATGGCGCTGTAATTGTCGCGAATTTCGATTCGCAAAACGTCAACCATACAAACGAATAATCAAATAAATTTCTTATCGTAAACAAATGTTCCTAATATCATGACTCATTTAATTAATTCTGTATTCCTTCAAATTATTTCTCATGACATTCTTGTGTTATCTAAATCCACATCATCGTATTCACACATTTTGGTACGATATTGTCTTTGTTAGCAACTGCTCGAAATAGCTATCTTAATTCCCATCTTTGTTCAGACACGTATCTTTATCCATATGCCAATCTTCCATTGTCGCAATGCCTATGCAATTGGATCTTAGCTATTTCTGGTCTA